TGTGCGATTACTATGTCATAGTATTGGTTAAAATAGTCTCTTTTCTGGGATACCAGACCTGGATAGACTTAGGTACAAAGTGACACTGTGACTCTAGAGCAAATTGTGCCACGTTGCGCATCTGACAACCAACAGTGACTGGAACACTATGTCATATCGGAAATTGTTGTAGAAGTTTTTTTTTAAATACATTTCCCATTAATAGCGGCCATACTATTATCGCAGGCGACAATCCGATATCGCGTACGTCCGGTCAGTGATTCAACGTCATATTGGATAAGTGTAGATCTTTAATATTTCGACTAATATTCCAGTTGTAGTCTCGAAAGTATTTACTTGAGCGAACTTCGAAAATGTACGAATATTCGAATAACGATGTACTACATTTCGTTTCCGTGATTCTATGTTTATGTACGTGTATATATACATATATATATATAGATATATATATATATATATATGAATATATATATATATATATATGATATATATATATATATATATACATATATGGACATGCTATGCTGTGTTATCGAAAAACTGTAATTTGAAAAGAATATATACATCGAACGGTTCTAATTCTATTATACAGGGTGTCCGCAAAGTTGGGGTTATCCTTTACACGACGTGTAGATCTGAAAACATAAGCAATTTTTCTTAGTGCCATATACACCAATATCTTAAGGGAACCGAGATAAAGGGCTCTGCAACATCAAAAATATCTGAATACCGTCCTGTAGCCGCCACCGCCGCGATGCCCCAGACAGGTACCGGCTACTAGCTGAACCCGACGACAGAACTGGGTCGGGGGTGGGGGTCCGAGTGTCAGGTCAGTATGCAACCTTCAACCGACGGTAAAGGGTCACGCGTATAGAGGTATAATAAATATAATAATAATGGCACACTCATATACCAATAATGAACTCGTGATATGTTGTTAATTTATTAATGAACGTCTTCAAATGATACAGAATCGTCGCGAGTGTATGCAGATCTTTTCCCTAGACGACATCATCCAAGGCCCCGCAGTTTGTGTACCCGGTCCAGAGAGTCAGGGATACGGGCATTTGGAGGAATATCGAGGTGGGCACAGTGGGAGGTCTAGACAACCACGAATGGTGCTAGTTGAGGAAGAAATACTGAATCGCGTAGGACGAGAATCCCTCAACAAGCACTAGAGACGTGGTAGAGAAGTGCGAGTATCACAAACTAGAGTGTGGCAAACGTCCAACCTGACGATTTTCCAGCAAGAGTGCGGTTTTGTGAGTGGTTGTTGCATCAACATGACAATAATCGGACTTTTTGAAGTGCATATTGGTGACAGACGAATCTACGTTCACACGTAATGGGGTCAACTGGAGAGTGAGTACTTTTTCCTTTATATATTTTTTTTACATGGTCGGCCCTCGTTTCACTACGCATTACCTTGTTATTTCAAGGGTAGTTGTTTCTGAAAAGGAAAAGCCCAACTTTGCGGACACCCTGTATTAACCTTCGGAAATCGTGGATACCCTTATGTTGACTGATTTCGCTGTTGAACAATAAAAACAATGACACTCCGTTAATACTATTAACTGTTAGAACAAGTTACCATACACCGATCCGCGGGGAAAGGAATAAACGATAAGTAATCAATTTTGGGCAGTTAACATCAATTAAACTCAGAATACCAAAATAAAAAGGATTTCCGTTGGCAATATATTCGGTCTGCTGTTACTTATGGGCTATAAATGTATAAAAAAAATTGTGTTACTTAATTTTGTTATTTTACAAAACGGTTCTTCGTCTTCTTCTTCTTCTTCTGCTACGGACTTCACACACACACACACACACCCTCCTACCCTGTGCGGTCCCTCCACCACCCCTGTTCCAGGCAACCTCAAACCCTTGAGGAGTGGGGGGAAGAGCAATCTGCTCCTCCCCCACTCCCGCCCAAAGGCCTGGAGTGGCGCTTGCGTGGTTCAGGCCGCTTGCGCATTCCCCGAGTGTGTTGCTGCCGAACGAGCTAATCCCCCCTTCCCCAATTTTGCCCCTTTTTCCCGAAATTTGACTCGATTCGCGCACGCGTCGCGGAAGCGCGTGGTGGACGTTTCTTCAACTGTCGGTTCTCGACTTTATGGCCGGCCTCTTTTCTGGGGGTCCTGCGCTGGGGGCTTTCGACCTAAGCCCCTCCTAAAGGTTGGTGAGCCTTCGCTCTTTCCTCGTCGACTGGAGTCAGTCAGTCGTCGTCAGTCAGTCATATTTGTAAGTCATTCGTCTCCTGAGGTTAGCCCCGAGTCCGTGCTTGACTCTGGCCACCTCAATCGACAGGATTCTTTTTGTCCACCCCGTTGTACACGGGCTGTTCTTTCCCCTCTGGGTGTACAACTATTTGTCGGTCTTCTCCCCTTTTCTTTGGCCTAATCAGCTGCTAGGCCAAATATCTTCTTGTTGCAGCTGGCTTTTCGGTCTTTTATGACGCCTTATTGTTCTTGGGTCGTAATCCAAGGCGGCTTCAATCAGCACATTTCTTTTCAAAGAACTTTCTGGCCCTCTCTCTCATCTGGATTACGACCGGTACCTGTCGTAGTTCGTCATATAGCACTCTGTTAGGTACATACCACGGTGCGTCCACCGCTTCACGGAGTGCCATGTTTTGTTGAGCTTGGAGCCTCTTCTTCATCGTTTTGGAAACGTAGCCCCAAGCTACTGCTGCGTAAGTCATGATTTGTAGCAGCACCATCTGAATCATGATGGTCTTATTCTTAGTGACACTTTGCTTCTTCTGCCCGTTAAGGGTCTTAGTTTGGAGCGTGCCATCTTCACTTTCTGCACCCGGTCTTCGACATGGTTCTTCCAAGTGAGTTTCTGGTCCATCTTGACTCCAAGGTATGTGCTGGAGTCTTTCCAGTCGACCTCAACCTCTTCATCTCTTCTCCAGCCTCTCTCCATTCTGGTGGTCGTCATCTTTATTTTGGTCTGAGGTAATCTTCGATTTCTTCGGAACAGTACCGCTTCGGTCTTCTCGGGGTTGAGGCGGATCTTCCACTTGATGCACCATTCCTCTAGGTTGGTGGTCGCTCGTTGCAGATATTCCGTAACCATGCGGGGTCTCGTACTTTTCTGCCGCATATGCTGTATCGTCCGCATACACATACAGTTGCGTTTGAGGAGTCCTTCGGATGTCTGAGCTGTAGATTGGATACAGCAGGGGTGGTAGAACCGCTCCCTGCGGTACTCCTGCCTCCACAGTCCTCGTCGTCGAGGTTGTTTTACCGATCCTAATTCGGAAATTTCGGTGCTTCAAGTAGGACTTCACCAGTTGGATCATCCCCTTTGAGTATCCGTGGTCTACCATCTTGTAGATCAGTCCGTCATGCCAAACAGTGTCGAACGCCTTTGCGGCATCCATGAACACAGCTCCCACGGCCCGCCGAGTCTGGAACGATTTCGTTGCCATCTCGACCAGCCTTAGGACCTGGTGCTCTGCTGAATGCCCGCATCGGAATCCGAACTGTTCGTCTGGAACTACTCGGAGTTCTTCGGTTTCGTTCTTCAGTCTTCGTTCGATTACCCTTTCCGCAATCTTGCTCAGTGCCGTCAACAGGCTTATGGGTCTGTAGTTTTGGGGGAACCTTGGGTCTTTCCCAGGTTTAGGAATGTTGATCACCTCGGCTACTTTCCAGTGATCTGGAAAGTACCGGTGTCTCAGTATGGCGTTGACGATGTTGGTAATTGCCATTATCGCTTTCCTCGGGAGTCTCTTCAGGACTCTGTTCCCAATATCGTCTACACCCGGTGCCTTCTTCACCTTGAGTCTTTCGATGATTTCCCTTACCTCGCCTGGAGAGGGCATGTCTTCGATGGCTCTTCCTCCTCTGACAGCTCTCCTCGATCTTCTCATCACCTCGTCGATGAAGTCTTCGTCTTCATCGGGTGAGTATTGAGAGTACACTGTCTCTGAAGGTTGTCAGCAAAAGCTTCCGCCTTCTCTTCGGTTGTGTACACCATCCCCTGTTCGCTGTGTATTGGGGGGATGGGCTGTCTTCTATTTCTGAGGATTTTAGCCAAGTTCCACATTCCTGGTCAGCTGGAGATAGTTCGTCGAGTTTCTTATCCCAGGTGCTCTGATGGTGCTGCTTCAAGGCGTCTCGTGCCTGTCTCATAAGTCTGTTTGCCACCATGATGTCAGTGGGGCTTCTGGTCTCCTGGGCTACTCTTCGGGCTCTGTTTCTTTCGGTGATCTTGCGATTTACCTCGTCAGGTAGGTCCCTGAACCTGTTTGGTTGCGTTATGTCTTCCACGGTGGTTGCGGCTTCTAACGCAGCCTTAATCTCCTTTCTAGGTCCGTGACCGCTTCTTCTATGCTTTCGGGGCTTTCGATCTGTAGTAGTGGTCCTTGTGAATAGTGCAGTCTGGTTCTAAACCGCTGCCAATTCACTCTCTTCACTGTTCTTTGTTCCACAGGTGTTATCCCATCTCCCGTACAGAGAAAGATGGGGTTGTGGTCTGAGCTTCCCTCTTGCATGGCGCCGATGGTGGTGCGCATGTCGATTTCCTTCAGAATCGCCATATCTATGACGTCTGGTCTACCTCCGTTGCTGGGGTATATTGTAGGTTCGTCCGGACCTATCATGGTATATCCAGGTTCATCCATTAGTCTTTCCAGAACAGCGCCGTGACTGTTTCTGTTTCTTGAGCCCCAAATGGTGGACTTCGCGTTTAGATCACCTACGATCACGGTACTGTTTCCCAGTGCAGTGATACAGGTGACATCTTCCAGATATTACGGACTTCTTCTATACATATATATATATATATATATATATATATATATATATATATATATATATATATATATATATATATATAGAGAGAGAGAGAGAGGAGAGAGAGAGAGAGAGAGAGCGAGAGAGAGAGAGAGAGATAGATGAAAAGATTAAAATAACGACCACAGCTAATTATCATTTTGCATTTTATCATAACATAGTGGTTCTGAAAGAACCGTTTTTTTTTTGTTCTTATTTTTCGAACCGTATAACCGTCGAAGCGAATACAACGTCTATATTATTTTGAACTGGTTTGTACTTGGTGACGGCTTTGGTACCTTCGCTGACTGCGTGCTTGGCCAATTCTCCCGGTAGCAATAGTCGTACGGCTGTCTGAATTTCTCTGCTAGTTATCGTGGCACGTTTGTTGTAATGTGCCAATCTGGAAGCTTCCGCAGCGATACGTTCGAAAATATCGTTGACGAAGCTGTTCATGATGCTCATCGCTTTGCTGGATATACCCGTATCGGGATGTACCTGCTTCAGTTACTTTGTAGATGTAAATTGCGTAACTTTCCTTCCTCCTGCGCTTCTTTTTCTTGTCAGATTTTGAGATATTCTTCTGCGCCTTGCCCGCTTTTTTGGCAGCCTTACCGCTAGTTTTGGGTGGCATTTTATTGTGAGATGATGCTGAGTATAATCGACACCAACGCTCGACTACGGAACGACTGGAACAGGAACACAAAGTTCCTAAGCGAACCCACACCTCCCCGGTCCAGGTACCCTCACTCTTTCCGGCCCCCAGTGGCGGTACGTGGACTGGACGCTCCTGCAACTTGTGTTCCTGTCGGACGCAAACCCCACCCCCCACCCAATTTTGCCCTTTAAATTTTCGCGCTTTTCCCCCCTCGGAATTTTGCCCCGCCGAAAGGTGTGGTAAGCTAATCACGACGCGGAAGCACGGCTGCAGAACGGAAGTGGTCATTTATACTCGTGTACCTTTCTCCGGTTTTACGAGTCGTCCTCTATTGGGGTTCCATCGGTGGGACCTTGACCTGAGGTCCCACTTAAGGTTTCCCAAGACGGCTTTTGGGTTCTTCGGTTTTTGATCTTCTTTCTTGAGTGTTGCTCCTGACCACGCCGACAAATGCCGAAAGTCGTCAGAAGGCCCGCTTGTTAGTGCCATCTAAATGCCCCGCACCTCAAATGAGATCGGTGCATTCAGCATGGCAAATCTTCGCCGTCTGACCACCGGTACTGCACAGGACTTTGCCTATCTTGCATGCAAGTACCTTCCTCGCGAGGTTCTACCCCTCTTCTTTAGGACTCATCAGCTGCTGTGTCCCATATCTTCTAGCAGCTGGCTCTTCGGTCTTTTGTGCCTATGTATGAACCTTGGATCGTAGTCCAAGGCGGCCTTGATGAGCTGGTTCTCGTGTTCTTCGGCGTTGTTGAAGAACTTCCGAGCTCTGGTCTTCATCACTTCGAGCACTGGCACTTGTCTCAGGTCTTCGTATAGCACTCGGTTTGGCACGTACCACGGTGCGTTGACCGCTTCTCGGAGTGCTATGTTGTGTTGTGCTTGGAGCTTCTTCTTCCACGTCTTGGCTGCGTAGCCCCAAGCAACTGACGCGTAGGTCATAATCGGTAGGAGCACCATCTTGATCAGCAGCATTTTGTTGTTCAGGGAGAGCTTGCTCCTTCTTCCAAGCATCGGTCTTAGCTTGGCTCTTGCCATCTTGGCTTTCTGCACTTGGGCTTCTATATGGTGTTTCCAGGTGAGACCCTTATCTATCTTGACGCCGAGGTACTTGCTGGTGTCTGTCCACTGTACCTCTTTTTCTTCGTCACGCACCAGGCCTCTCAGCACTTCTGTGGTCGTCATCTTGAGGTTGCCTTCAGGGGTCTTGCGGCTCTTCCTGAGGAGCATCGCCTCGGTCTTATCTGGATTTAGCTGGATCCTCCATTTCTTGCACCATTCCTGTAGACTGGTTGTCGCTCTTTGTAGGTAAGTCGTAGCCATGCGGGCTGAAATGACTCGGCTACGTACGCAGTGTCGTCCGCATACATCAGCAGCTGCGTATTTGGGGTCTTCGGAACGTCGAGCTGTAGATGGCGTATAGTAGAGGGGATAGGACCGCTCCCTGCGGTACCCCAGCCTCTGCAGTTCTGGTCGTCGAGGTGGTGTTTCCCAGTCTAACCGGAATCTTCGGTTCTTCAGATATGACTTCACCAGCTGAATCATCCCTGTCGAGTATCCCTTGTCTTGCATCTTATAGATGAGTCCGTCGTGCCAGACGGTGTCAATTGCCTTCGCGACATCCATGAACACCGCTCCCGCGACTCGCCGAGCCTGGAACGCACGCGTCCCACACTCCACGAGCCGAAGCAGCTGGTGCTCTGATGAATGGCCGCTCCGGAATCCGAACTGTTCGTCTGGCAGTACTCTAAGGTCCTCGGTTTGTTGTCTAAGTCTTCGCTCGATTGCCCTTTCTGCAACTTTACTCAAGGAAGTTAGTAAGCTGATTGGCCGGTAGTTTTGTGGGAATTTTGGGTCTTTCCCAGGCTTCGGGATGTTTATTACTTCCGCGATCTTCCATCTGTCCGGGAAGTATCGGTGCCTCAGCATAGCGTTCACGATGTTGTTATGGCCACATGCCCTTTCTCGGGAGCCTCTTCAGGATTCTGTTCCCTATTCGGTCGCAGCCCGCTGCTTTCTGGTCTTTAGAGTCTTGATGATGTCCCTGATTTCCGTCGGGGAGGTGGCTTGCTGCACCATTTCTCCTCCTCTCGTAGCTCTTCTGGATCTTCTTTCCACTTCTTCTACGAAGTCTTCGTCCTCATCTGGGTGCATGTATGTCGTACACTGCCGTTGTAAGTTATCTGCGAATGCTTCGACCTTCTCGTCGTTCGTGTACGCGGTCCCGTAGGCTCCTTGCAGCGGGGGAACTTGTTGTCTGCGATTTCTCAGGATCTTCGCTAGCTTCCACATTCCTGGCTCACCTGGTGTTAGTTCCTCTAATTTTCTTTGCCAGCTGCGTTGATGGTGCTCCATCAGGGCTTTTCTCATCTCTTCGGTCTTCCTTTTTAGCTCTCGTTTGTGTTCTGGGTCTCCTGTTCGTTGAGCTAGTCTTCTTGCCCTGTTTCTGTCGGTGATCTTCTGGTTCACCTCTGGGGGTAGGTCTCTGAACCTGTTGGGCCGTGATGTCTTCTACCGTGGTAGTAGCATCTAGCGCGTCCTGGATCTTCCGTTCTAGGCCCTGAACTGCTTCCTCTATGCCTTCAGGAGTCTCTATCTGAGGTAGTGGGCCGAGTGAGTAGTGAAAGGTTCGCCGGAACCGGTCCCAGTTCACTCTTCTGGCTATCCTCTTCTCCACGTTTGGTGCTCCCTCTCCTATTTCCAGGAATATGGGGTTGTGGTCAGAGCTTCCTTCTTGTAGAACACCAATGTTGCAAGACACGTCTACCTTTTTCAAGATAGCAATGTCTATTACATCAGGCCTTGTACCGTTGTCTGGGTACAGCGTGGGTTCGTCAGGTCCTAGTATGGAGTACTCCGGTTCATCCATCAGCCTCGCAAGGATTTCGCCATGTCTGTTGTTCGTGCGCGAGCCCCAGATCCTAGATTTGGCGTTCAGATCTCCTATGATGACAATGCTCTCGCCCATTCCGCTGATTTGCGTGATGTCGTCCATATGCAGAGTCACCGTTGGTGGTATATATACCGAGATGATGTTCAGCGTGCCGTAGTCCTCCGTGTACACGGCTATTCCTACTGCTTCTGTAGTCCTCAGATCGGGGATTCCTAGCAGGTCGTGGCTGATGCTGCTCCTTACGGAGATCAGCACGCCTCCGCCTCTCTGGTCTCGGTCCTTCCTGTACGTCGTGTACCCTGGGAAGGTCCAGTTTGGAACTCTGCTTGAGAGCATTGTCTCTTGTAACGCCATCACATCGTAGTCCCCTCGAGTTAGCAGTTCTCCTATCTCGTACTTCTTGTTGGAAGCACTATGTACGTTCCAACTCAATATCCGTAGGGTCCTAGATGTTGGCAGGCTGCCCATTTAGTTGGCGTTTCTTCTGTTCTTGCTTGTCATGAATGCCTCCTTGGCTTCGGGGGTATTCATGATGAGCCTCTTCATTTGGGCCATGTGGGTTTCCATGAACCTCTTCAGTTCATCCCCGTCTTCCTTCCCGGTTTGTGGAGGGTCTTTCCTGCCTTCGGGGGCCGTCTCGTTGCTTCTTGCAGCCCTTGCGTAGCTCTGTCCTGGTCTTACTGGGGCTGGCTTCGTGATTTCTCTTCTCTCCTCCGCGGCGGGTTTGCTCTTTGGTTTTGAGCTCGGGCGTCTTGGGCATCCCCCGTAGTTCGCTGGGTGGCTCCCACCACAGTTGGCGCAGGTTGCCGCTCTTTCTTGTGGCACTTTGCACTCCGATGCGCGATGTGCCCCTGCACATCTCACGCACTTCGGTGCCCCGGTGCAGTTCTGCTGGCTGTGCCCGAACTGCTGGCACCTGTAGCACTGGCCCGGTCCTTCTCTCTTCTTCTGTGCCTCGATTTTTACTATCATCTGACAGCATTCTGTCAGATCATAAATCCTCTTTCTTCCTTTGGAAGATCCACCTTGACCAGCGGATCTTCTTCCTGGTTCGCCTGCTGGTGAGTCTGTTGACTCTTCTTGGGGGAATCCTTTAGATTCCAGGTCCTCTTTAACTTCGTCCTCCCCCGTCATCAGTGGCATGCCCCTGATGATAACTGACAGGGATTTTTCGTCTGGCAGGAGTATGTGTGGTGTTCCACCTTGTTCTCTTCGAGCGTCTTCCTTACGCTTCTGAATTCTTCTTCGGTCGTCAGTTGGACCTTTATGCCGGTCCTGGTGAGTTTTTGCCGGCTTGTCGGCTGGGATCTTCTTTCCCCTCTTCATTGTTTGCCACTGGTCTTCCCTATGTATATAGGGGTGGCGGCCTTCTTGTTTTAGGCTTGGGAGCTGGCTGGGCCTGCTCGGTGTCCATCCTGTCTTCGGTGGTTGACGGGGGGGGTGGGGTGGTCTTCTCCTCCACTGTCTTCTTCTTTGGGAGCGGGGGGAAGGGGTCCACTGCCGCTTTCTTGGAGGCTGGTTTCTCGTCAACCTCCTCGGTCTTATCGGCCTTCCTCTTAGTCTTCTTTTTGGGATCGTCTATCTCAATCCCTTGTCTAGCGGCCATAAGCTCGATGAGCTTGGCCGTCTTCTCGCGCTCTTCGGCGCTTATCCTTCTCTCTCCAGTAGCTGACGCGTCAGGTCCGCTAGCTGGCAGGATAGTTCCGCTATCTGCCTCTTGAGCTCGCGGTTTTCCTCTTCCATCCTGTTTGGTCGAGGTTCCTCTTCCTGGACCTCTTCCTCCTCTTCGCTGGACGAGGAATTACGTGTTTCGTCGTCCAGCATCTTGGTCACCTTATCTATGGTGTCGCGCTCGATCACACCACATCGACTCTTCCGAGTTCGATTCACTTCACTGCACTTTTACACAAT